ATCCAAACAAACCAGGCTCCCACAAAGTCAGTCCATGCAGTAGAATCAAAACCCAGTGCCATTGTCCTTGACTTCTCAGTCAGCCTTCATTGTCAGCCACATTCAGAGGGTCCAGTTTGATCACATGCTCCATCACTCCCAGTCCAGCTGGCTTTGGTGAGCTCCCATTAGATCAGTCCCACCGTCTCAGTGAATGGACGCACCCCTCGTGGTCCTGACTTCTTTGCTCATGTTCTCCCTACTTCTGCTCCTCATTTGCACCTTGGGAGCTCAGCCCAATGCTCCAATGTGGGTCTCTGTCTCTATCTCCATCCATTGCCAGATGAAGGTTGTCATTGATAGGAACAAGCTAACACACTTGTGTAATATATTCTAATACACAGGAAAAACAACAGTTGAGAGTAACTTACCTGCCCTATCCAGTTCATGTACAGAACATAGATTATATTCAGTCTACCTTCTAATTAGCAAATGTTCACTTCCTAAGGAACAGGTACTTTTATACAATTTTACATTAATACTGTATTCTGTTCAAGCTCTACTGTTGAACTGTACAGTACAAGCTCTACACTTGAACTTCATTTTCCAGTCTGCTCTCAGTGACTCAGACCTGGTTTTCTACTTCATTGTTTTAGTGCCTTTCCTTCTTCCAGGGAGTCTTCCCCATAACTTATGCTGTACCCTGAAAACTAATGTGTCCTCATATAAAGAATAACAACCAGATCTGTGCTGTGCACAACATCCTTCAGTGGCTCTCCTGTCTGTGTAACTAATAATTATCTTCTTTATAGGGCACTCAATGGCCATTCCATTTCCATTGGCCTTTCTGCTTCTTCATGTTAAGTCTATGTCAGCAGAGGTTAGGAAACACAATATTGCAAGAAGCTCTGACTATATCCTTCTGTTCTCCTTGTTGACACAAATCTACCTTATTCCTTCTCCAGACAGAATATTAATAATTTGCCTCAGGAATATTAATAATATCCCTGGTCAAGGCTGGAGAAATGATTAAGTGATTAACAGCATGCACTGTTCTGGGAGAAAACCATTCTGTCCCCAGCACCACTGTGTGAGCTCACAACATGCTGTATATCCTATCTGGGTATTTGGTCTTGTTCCACTGGTCTGCATGTCTATTTTGGCCCAGTACCATATTGTATTTATTACTTTGGTTTTTAAACATACTTTAAGATCTGCAATTGTAGTACCTCCAGTGTAGTTCTTTCTGTTCAGAATTGTTTTGGGTACACTTGGTATTTTGTAGTTCCATATATAAATTTTTGGATTCTTTAAATCTTTTTCTGATTAGGAATGCATGGAATCTGTAAATAGTTTGGTAGAATGATCATTTTCACCATATTGACTGTACATGATTATACAAGGACATGTGATATCTTTCCACTTTCCAGTGTTTTTCTCTTTCTTCCAAGGTTTAAAGTTTTGATTAAAGAGGAATTTCACTTTCTTGGTTGGGTTTATTCCTAGTTATTTAATATCTTTGAAAATACTACAAATAGGAATGAGTCCAGTGTTTCTTTTTATGGCTGTTTGTTGGTGGTGAATAGAACAGCTTTGATTTGTGCAAACTGATTCTGCATCCTGTTACATTGTTGAATTATTTTTATCATTACTAGAAGTTTTCTCATCTCTATTGTACAGTGTCATATTATCTGCATATAAGGATATCTGCATGTAAGAATATCTACTTTCCTTATTTCTACCTCTCTACTTTCCTTCTCTTACGTTTTTGTTCCAGATAGTACATTAAGCACAGCATTGAAAAGGAATAGGGATAGTACATATCCATGTCTCACTCTTGACTTTGGTAATAAAATTGCTTCAAGCTTTTGTCTATTTAGTATTATGGTGCACCTATGGGTTTCTTGTATATAGCTTTTATTAGGTTTAGGTATGTTCCCTTTATACCTATGTTCTGTATGATTTTTTTTCTCTTTTTTTCTCTTTTTTTAATTTATAAATGTTTAGTAATTTTAAAAGTTTTCCATTTCTGCCCCTGCTCCCAACACCCTTCCACTCCTCCCACTCCCTCTCCCCCTCTGTCTCCATTCCTAAGAGCAGTCAGGGTTTTCTGCCCTGTGGGAAGTTCAAGTTCCTCCCCCCTCCCTCCAAGTCCAGCAAGGTGAGCATCCAAACAGACTGGATACCAAAAATCCAGTATATGCAGAGGAAACAAGTCCCAGTGTCATTGTCAATGGCTTTTCAGAAAGACCCCGTGCCAGCCACATTCAGAGAATCCAGCCACATTCAGAGAATCCGGTCACATTCAGAGAATCTGGTTGGATCACGTGCTCGTTCAGTCCCAGTCCAACTGGCCTTGGTGAACTCTCATTAGATCAGTCCCCTTGTATCAGTGGGTGAACGTACTTCTCACGGTCCTGCCTTTCTTGTTCATGTTCTCCCTCCTTCTGCTCCTCATTTAGACCTTGGGGGCTGAAGATATGTTGGATTTTAGCAATGACCTTTTCTGCAACCATTGAGATGATCATGTAAAGTTCGTCTTTAAGTCTGTTTATGTGATTTGTTACATTTATTGACTTTCATATTTTGAAGCATCCCTACATACATGGATAAAGTCTACTTTGACATGGGATATAGTCTTTTTGATGTATGTCTTTATTCTGTCTGCAAGATTTTTATTGAGTATTTTCTACTTCTTTCTTGATTTTTTTCTTTAACTCACTGTTTTTAAGTTTTATTGCACTTTGATCTGATAGGCTTTAAGGAGTGATTAAAATATTTTTTATTTACAAATATTTGTTTAACCAGAGAGTTCAACTTATTTCTCAGTCAGCCAGACCAGAATAATTACACAGAAATTTTATTAATTACAGTACTATGTGGCCTATTAACTCAGACTTCTTATTTTTGTTCTTATTTTGTGTTGGAGGTTGTGGATTATTTTAGAAAAGTTGTTGAGTAGAATGTGTATTCTTTTGAGTTTCAATAAAATATTCTATAGATACCTTTTAAGTTCATGTGATGTATGATGTCAAATACTTCTGGTATTTCTCTGTTTAATTTTTTTTTTGTTCAGGTTACCTGTTTAAGTGAGAGAATGGAATACTGAAGTAAACAATTAATTATTAATGGAGAGATGTCAATCTGTGTCTTTAAACCAATATTAGATTTAATAAGATATTGGATTTCCCTAAGTTTGGTGCACCATGCTTAGGATATTACTTTCTTCTAAATGAAGCATCTCTATTCCTTTAGTTTAAAGTCAGTTTTTCAGCTATTAGGATAGTGATATCTGCTTGCTTCATATTCTGGTTTTCTTGAAGCACTGTTGTCTATCATGTTCTTATAAGGTGGTACCTATCTTTGAAATACAAATGTGTTTATTGAAGGCAGTATATAGTTATATTTTGTTTCTTGTCCCATTTTTTCAGTCTGTGTCTTTTATTTGGAGATTTAAGACTGTTGCTCTTCAGTGTTGTTGAAGAGTATATTAGCTGTGGTCATTGGGTTGTTGTTGTTTGTGTCCTTGGTGGTATTTTGTGTTTTTATACTTATGACTTTTGTATTTCTTCTCTCAGTCTCTTTGCTATCCTTATTCCTATTTAGTTTGAAACAATGGTTCTATTTTTCTCAGGTCTGGTTTGTTGCATATAAAATTCTTTTAGGCTGTTTATGTCATGAAGTATTTTTCAATCATCACATTTGAGTGGGTGCATCTTTCTGGAATTTGAGGTAAGTTTTCTGCTGTAGCACTACTGAGCCTATGTCCTATGTCATCGACTTGGAGTTTCTTTTCTTTTTCTATGTTTAAAATTTGTGTAGATAGTCTTTTAATATTAGGAATGGTTTCCTAATATTTTTTAACATGACTTTGATTATTGGTGCACTTTCTCTGTTTTCACGTCCTGATATTTTATCTTTTACTTCATTATACATATAAGTCTTTCACCTGACTTTCCTAAATGTGCTGTTGATCTTCATTTCAGCTTAAGTTTTATTCAGCATTTTATTTCTTTATTATATAAAGTTTTCTAATCATAAATTTTCTTACTTATTTTCTCAGCTCTATATTTTTATTTTTTTTTAATTTCCCTCTGGTGTTTAGATCCTGCATCTTCAAATATCGTTGTCCTTTCAAATCCTCTCTAATTAGATCATCATGTTTATGATGATTCTTTTAAGTTCCATGTTCTAGGATTAATCTAGGTAATATTTACTGAAAAACATTTTTATAGAATTTGTGGGTTTTGGGGTGATGGGATTATTTTGGCCTTTCTTGATGTTTGTGTGTTTGTGATAAAATATAGGCATTCAGACTTCTTTCATTGTGTCTGATATTGTAGCCTGCTCTGTTGAGTAGAATTTTACTTCTGTTTTTGCTTTTGTTCAAGCTTGATTGGTTTTAGATCAGGTTGAAGAGTTGGAAGGTCAGTAGATAGGTAGATCAGCTCTCCAGACAGATATATTTATTATTGAGGGCAGGGTGAGAGGGATTCTAATTCAGTAGTTATCAAACAGTGTGTTGATATGGCTCAGGTCTATGTCTGCATGCTGATGAAAAACTTGTTTATGCCCAGCTATGCCTGGGAGTGTGGGGATGATGCACTGAGGTTCTGGGAAACTTACAGGTCTGGGTTGGTATGATGGCTGCAGAACCCAAAATATGCCTTCTGAAGTGTGGGAAAGATGTGAGTAGATGGGATCTGGGGCTCTCACCTGACTGGGCTGGTGCACAAGAGATGTAACCACAGGTAGGTCTGGGAATATGCAGATTGTGTGGATAGTGGGGATCTGGAGCACTCACCTGGTTAGGTTGGTTCACAGGTTATGTGACCCAGCTAGGTATGAAAATGTGATACTCACGTGGGTGAATAGGAAGCTAGTACACTCACCTGGTTGAGCAGGTGCATAGTCTGTGAGCACAGCTAGGTTGAAATTGTAGGGATGGCAGTTGTGGGCTGAGTTCAATCTTTCCTAGAGTAAGAGGAAAACACACTAGATTTCTGCAGTTAGAAATCTGACCACAGGGTGGCAGGACCCCTCAGCTGATGCACAAGAAGGCCACCTTAGTGAATTTCAAATGAACAGGCCTTTTTTTATTGGCTGAGCAAATAACTAAGCATGTGTGGTTATAACAACAATGGTCAAAGAGAACCTGCTAGAAGCTGCTGGGTAAAGACTGAGCACGTATAATTGATCTGCATAGGAAGCACAATGAAGGCAGCAGTTCATATTTTATTCATTCTTTTCTGCCTTTGGATGAACTGTGAGTGGACGAAGGTGAGATGACTGGGAGAATGTTAGTAGGAGGACATTAAATGTTCATAAGAACAACTTTGTTCATCTTTTCTCTTCTTACCATAGGGAAAAAAACAGGGACGCATAATAACCTAACAATGTTTCTCCATTCTCTCCATCTTTCTGCATAGGGGAGAGTCAAGGCGAGAATGTGGAGCAGCAACCTTCCACCGTGAGTGTCCAGGAGGGAGACAGCACTGTCATCAACTGCACTTACACAGACAGCGCCTCAGTCTACCTCCCTTGGTATAAACAAGAGCCTGGGAAGCAGCCTCAGTTCATCATTGACATTCGTTCAAATGTGGAAAGGAAGCAGAGCCAAAGACTCACCCTTCTATTAAATAAGAAAGTCAAACACCTTTCCTTGCACATCACAGCCATTCAGCCTGGAGATTCAGCCATCTACTTCTGTGCAGCAGATACACACTGCTCCACAGGCCCCTGCAATCTCTCTTCAAACCTGCCACCAGGACTGGGTGACACTCTTTGTGCTGTGTCAGATATTTTATGACAACTTTTGTCACATTGTTTGTTTGAGAGCAGAAACTAATATATAGATATTAAAAGCATGTATAATAAGGCCCAAGATGACCCAGGAAGTTTAGGTTATATTATTGATTGTTGCTTAATGATTATTTTTAAATGCATATGTGTTCTACATGTTAAATGTGTACTGTGTACTATGATATCTTGGTTTAAGTAAACATAGGGAAATGAATAGTTTGGTGAGTAGGTGCACAAAGCAATGTCTGAAGTAACGTGTAAACCTTCATCTTCTTTCTATGTGAGCTGATACTAGCATCTCCATGTGTTCAGCAATCTAAAAGCTCTGTGTAACAGATTCTTACAGGGATTTATGATGGTTTGTTTCAAAATCATGTGTTAAATGACCAACCCTACAAGCAAGGCAGCCCCACTGCTGCAATTGTGACTTGACAATTTGTTGGAGTAACCAACTACTTTCTCATTGCAGTTGACGCCTGCTTTGTAGGAGGAGATACATGTGAAGTATGTCAATCTGTCCAGAAGTCTAAGGCTGTGAAATTGCAAAAGAGAGAAAATGCTGCTTTAATAAATGATTATACATCTTATATAGGAAAACATTATGAGCAACACATTCTGAAACAACTATAGAAGTTGTGAGTGAGGGAAGTTCTGACGGACTCAATATTCATTACCTTGAACTTGTAAGAAACAAAGGTTCTGAGCCAAAGGTTGGCATTTGCAAATTATATTTATATGTTAAATACAACAACAATTATGGAACAGATGTAGACAAAGATGAGAAAGAATAGCTTTGAGACAATACATTAACTTGAAAAAAATTCTACCAAACACCAAAATTAGAAAAAGTACAAAGAAGAATCATCCATAATTCTATTGCCTGTGTTTAGCGTGTTAGTTAACACTTATACTGTATTACCGATTAATACACTATCCCTCTTAATACTTCATAAAAACTTTAAAAAATAGGAGTAATAATAGTAACTGCCTCATTGTATTGTTGTGATGATAAAATTATCACTTAGAATAGTACTTGAAACATAATGACACATAAGAGGAGTTCATAGTTACCAATTATCTTCTCAGTATATAATTTAAAAACATAATTCAGAATTTAGGGTTTAAGCTTTTTCCATGATCAAAGTATCTATTCTTTTCCCCACCATTAATATTTTTATATAACTGAATGCTACTTTATATGCTTTAGACTATAATTCATAAAAAGTTATTAATAAATTCTTTAAAATTATTATTTGTAAATACAAAGTTCTGTCTCAGATGTTTAGATTTTATTTATTAAAGTGTTATACATAATACTGGAACAAATATTTAGTGCATTTTTCTGATTTTTTTCTTAGGGTATATACCTACTGGTGGAACTAATAAAATTTTTTTGAATTATATAAAAAATAGAATAGCATTTTGAGAAACAAATTTTGTCAATAAAGAAATACTACTAAGACAAATTGAAAAATAAAAGAAGCTCCCACAGAAACATGGCAGTCATGAAGAAAGACTCATAAGTGGAAGCTTTGACATTTGGAGGAAGGAGTTTTTCTGAAGACGCTTGTGTAAGCTGGCTGTTTGCTCTTTTCAGGTCTGTAAGGAAGAGTCCCAGATTATCTCCCCACTTCCAAATGATAGCTAACATTGCATTTTCTAACAACAAGTACCAGTGGTCACAATGACATTTACAGAAAAGAACTAAGGAAAAGGTTGTAGTTTACATGTGATGTAGAGCATGGCATAACACGTGAATTCTACATGCCAGTCAAAATTTCTTCCTTTGTTATTGCTGTCCTGTACAGTTAACCTTCAAACATTGTTTCAAGACACCAATGACCTTTAAAGTAAATGGACAGTGTAAACCCATCATTTAAATCTTTAGAAGATATAAAGAACAGATTTTAATGATCACACAATCCAAAATACAGTTTCTAATTACCATGACACAATAATGTTAGGAAAATTTAAATATTTATTTATTTTGTTTATGTACATGAGTGTTTTGCCTGCATTTGTAATTGAATACCATGTATGTGACTGGTGCTCAAGTAGATCATAAGAGAGAGTCATTTACCCTGGAACTGGAGCTACAGATAGTTGAGAAACACTATTTTTGTTCTGAAAATCAAAAGCACAATAAATAAGTGCTTTCTGGTCCTGAGCCATCAATTTAGGCCTGAATATTATCTTACTCCAAATTCAAATCAGTGAATATAAACTGGATAAACTGGTAAAATCTACTTCTTGCCTTTAATTCATAGTATGGTAAAAAACTAAAACAGAGAACACATCAATTATTCTACTATAAAATTTTCATGTCAGATTGAATCCTAAGAATGACAACCTTGGATATATTAATGACCATTACTTATATCCTTAAAGGCAACTTAAAATTGACATGTGCCTTATGAATGATTTCAAGTATGAGAACGTTAGTGACTTCTGGGAGGTAAGAGACCCTAGTTTGTCTCTGTCATCTAAGGGGAGGAGTTTCCTGACACAAGATCATTATCTGTGAGAAGTAAAAGCTACATAAGTTCATCATTTGATGTCATTTCATCATTTCTTTGTGTGAAGAGTCAAGAACATTACTTGGGTGATACTAAAGATGAACACTTCTCCAGCTTTAGTGACTATGATGCTGCTATTCATACTTGGTAAGTGAAGTGAGTTAAAATTTATGATCGTTCTTCTATGATGTCAGAAAAACATTTAATTATCTAAGAACTTTGTTATTAATGTAACACATATCCTCTTCTTTCTTTAGGAAGAACTCATGGAGACTCAGTGACCCAGAAACAAGGTCAAGTCACCCTCTCAGAAGATGACTTCCTATTTATAAACTGCACTTATTCAACCACAGGGTACCCAAGTCTATTCTGGTATGTCCAATATCCTGGAGAAGGTCCTGAGCTGCTTTTGAAAGTCACAAAAGCCAACAACAAGGGAAACAACAGAGGTTTTGAAGCTACATATGATAAAGAATCCACTTCCTTCCACTTACAGAAAGCTGCTGTCAAAGAGTCAGACTCAGCTCTGTACTACTGTGCTCTGAGTGACACAGTGACAGAAACTGCAGGGGGAGCTGAGTACAAACTCAGAGGAGCAAAAGAAAGTTTGGCCTCTGATGATCATGGAAACAATGAAGTTCTCAGTTGCCTTGATCTCCATATACAAGCCATTGTCTTCACTCAAGTAATTCACAATGAGCTAAATATGGCAGAAAAGGTGGCATCTAGATTATGTCTATTTAATACTATAGAAGGACAGATTATCTAAGGGTAACAACCCTTCCATACCTCACGATTTCTAATAAAGTAATGTGGGTAGGATGGACAGAACAAAGGGATGCAGGAGCAAGTAGGTGATCTTCAATGTCCCTCCTCCTCTCTAAATCAAAACTCCAAGTCTCATCCCCAGTACATCTCTGGGTATATCTTTGGTATATCTTTCTATACAAGACTTCTGCTATGCCCTCTCCTCCCTCTTTGCCCCCATTCCCAGAGCACTAAGGAGTTTCTATTGGTACATCCTGATTTCTTCCCTGCTTTCTTCATTCCAACCCTCTTCTAGCCAATTTCCATGCCTAAGTGTCAGCATCCAATATGAAGAACCTTATTATATCAGAAAGCCTACTTGCAACATCTGGCAGAGTATCAGCCTACCAGGCAAACCAGAGTCACTACACTCTCTTAATAACCAGAGAGGGCAACATAAAGTAAAGAACAGCAACAACCAATAAAGACAAGATCAGATATCAGCACCAGGGTTTGCAGTGATCCCAAACCCAAATGCCTGGATTCCAGCATAAAAACAGTCAGTAACAGCCACATGACATGTCTCCAGTAAAACCCAGAAACACTATTACAGTAGACCCTGAGAAAAACAATATAGTTGGAACACAATACAATAAGTTTAGAATAGATGTTATGAATATGCTATAGGTGTTCAAAGCAGAATGAATAACCCCCCTAATTAATCTATGAAAGCACAAAGAAGCAGTGGGATGTAGTGAAGAAAACAGTTCAAGACTTGCAAGAAGAAATAGAATCAATAAGGAAAACAGAAAGTAAGGGAAGCATGGAAAACAAAGTTTAGTAACTCAAACAGGAAGCTCAGTGTCAAATTTCACCAAGAGATTATAAGAGATGAAATAAAATAATCTAAATTAATGGAGATAATGATAGGAAAATGGACACCTTGGTCTAAGAAAATGTTGAATCTAAAAATTTTTAGGCACAAAACATTGGAGAAACCTAGGGCACTTTGAAAAGACAAAATCTGGAGAAGCGACTCAGGTCAAAGGCACAGAAAATATTTGAACAATATCATAGATAAAAATTACCACAATCCTCAAAAAGGATATGCCTATCAAGATACATGGAGCATACAGAACACCAAATAGACTGCACCATAAAAAAGCTGTCATGGCACTTAATATTAATATTCAGAACAGTTAATGTATGGAACAAAAAGGAATATAGAACAGTACAAGGGAAAAAACAAAGGCAGGCATAGTTTAATAATAGCTTAAATAATACCAGTTTTCTTAATAGACAATCTAAAGTCTAGAAGACCCTGGGCAGATGTTGTACTACTTTAAGATACCACAGGTGCCATTTAGACTATTATACCCAACAAAACTTCCATTTACTATAGTAAGACATTCAATGATAAACCAAATTAAACAGAATCTATCTACAAATCCAGCCCTACAGAAGGCACTAGAAGGAAAACTGAAACCTAAAGAAGATAACCACACCACAGAAAACACAAAGAATAAATAATGTCAACCA